TATATATATATATTCCTACTAGCCAAAGCAAATGCATTTAAGCATATTTGACTAAATTGATAACAGAATTCAGGAATTATGGGGAATTAAACTTCTTCATACTCAATGCAGGTTAGAGGGGAGAAATGGAAGAAAAACAGATCTCTCTAATTTAGAATCGAGGGCCGTGCTAAATCTACGGATATATATATATATTCCTACTAGCCAAAGCAAATGCATTTAAGCATATTTGACTAAATTGATAACAGAATTCGGGAATGATGGGGAATTAAACTTCTTCATACTCAATGCAGGTTAGAGGGGAGAAATGGAAGAAAAACAGATCTCTCTAATTTAGAATCGAGGGCCGTGCTAAATCTACGGAACCCCTAACTGGGATGATATTGTATTTGTTTTATTGCATTTTATCTGTTACTGTTCTACATGTTCACATTTGCAGTGTGCACGCTGTAACCTGCTGGCAGAACAGAAAACACAGCTGAAGCCAATGCTGTAAAAATACCGGGACCAAGGCCGGGTGCGGTGGCGCACGCCTGTAGTCCCAGCACTCGGGAGGCAGAGGCAGGCAGAGCTCTGTGAGTTCAAGGCCAGCCTGGTCCACGTATTGAGTTCCAGGACACATGGGGCTACAGGGAGACCCTGTCTCAAAAAAACCAAAAAAAATTTTTTTTAATTTTATTATTTTTGCTTGTCTTTAAAGATTATTTTTGCATGTGGATGTGTGAGTGCCTGCACATTTCCATGTGTACCCTATATGTGCCTGGTGCCCAAAGGAATAAGAAAAGGGCATTGAATCCCCTGGAGTTATAGACAACCCACCATGCGTTGAGAGGGCTTCACAGAGGAGGAATTCGATGAACTATTTCTTGGCTTAATCTCTACATTGCACACAGGTTTTCTTTACAAAGTTGAACAATCCCTATTCAAGAAAGTCTCTACAACAGTGTCCTCGGAAGGACAGTGCACCAACAGCATATACAACGTCCTCAGGAATGGGAGCCTGTTAAGCAGAAGGGGTAGGGATGAGGGATACACAAGCCTCCGCAGGTTAAGGACATGGATATCTTCAACAGCGAAGCAAAGCTTAGGAAGGGAACCCTGGAACTCAAGTACAAAGCATTATGTCTTAATCTCACGTCGTCCAAATGGTCAAAGCCAATGTGAAGATTTGTTCACTCACCCCACTCTAAGTGGACTTCTTTGTGCTTTGGTCTACCCAAAACCCTCGGTGGTCGACATTGACCTGGTGCAATGCTTAGTGTGCGAACAGGGAGACTCTCAGAACACTGTGGGAGAAACACCAGAGAGAACCATTGCTTAGTTACTATAAATTTAACACACCTTATCCACCAGGCTAATTCTACCCCAGGCTGTAAATGTGACCAAAGGTGACAGACATTGGAAGTATGTGGCTGTCAGGTAGTGAGAAGTTCATGAAGGTCCACATGTATCTGTGTGTGTCTAAGTGCAGACTCACTGCATACGAGGTTGGTTAAGACAAGAACGCCTCTTTCTGACAGCAGATTGGGTCTGAGCGTCATCCAAGGACAATTATTTTCCTTTATATCAAAAGTAGAAAGAACCTTCACGAAGACACAAAGAACAATATAAAACAAAAGCTGGGTAAAATTCAGGATCATGTCCTAACTGGCCGGCCATTCACGGAAAAAGAGCAGAACACCAAGTAAGGGGTGAGCACATCCAGCAGTCTAACCTCACCAAATAAGTCCTGTTAATTTGAAAATAACCAGGCCTTCTTTTGGGGGCGGCTGGCTGTGGAAGGCTGGTGGTATAGAAGTTGACGATCTTACTGAGAAAGTAAAAACCAAGGTAGGGCACTGCAGCTCAACCAAACACAATTCCTTCCTGAAAATTTATGTATAGGAAATGGACTATATGCATTCAATGAAGAATACAGCCCGGGACAGCCTCTCACAAAGGTATCACTGGCAGTCTGTGGCTTTGGATAAACCACCCAGGGAGGCATTTTCCAGAGAGCACCAGCACTGCAGAAAAATGTTCTAAATGGACCTTTGTCCCTCAGGGCGTTTATCTGTATGGGAACTCTAGACACTGTGGTGCTGCCATCCGAGGCATGGACAGTGGGGTGTATGTGGGGAGAGAAATTTAAGAAAATGTTAGAGCGGACGGTTGATAGGAAAACTAGGCATTTAACAGCAAGCATTATCCTTAACAGTCAGTCTACTACAGGGTAGCCAGGAGTCACCCCCACCCCCAGCATTCATGGTGTTACACCATCTTGTCAGATTTTTCTATAGTGACAACATCTGGGCCACTGTGCCTCTCACTCATAGGAATATCAACTATGTTGAGGCCACGCTCTCATTTCTCATGTGTATATATTAGATTATACTGAACTCATGAGCACCATGTGAGGTAGAACTGAGGCTCCCAACATGTTACGTGGCTGGTGTAAGGTTGTGCTAGTAGGAGACAGGAGATGGAGACTGCCCCAGGGCCTCACACTGGGTGCTCCCCACTGCAGACAGCAGTGATCTGTAATGTTTTTACAATAATTTCCCAGCAGATGGCAGTAAAGGACCTTGATGTGCTGCTACCAGCACAGCCGTGTGGGAGGCCTCATCTGGACTCTAAATTCTGTACTTTTTCTTCATTGAAATGGCCTAGATCTCCCTTAGTTAATACAAATCCCAGCCACATTCACCTGTCACACTCAACTATGTCAAAGTCATCTGAGGGACGGGCAAGGGACAAACGACCTGAATGTATCAGAATGCAGTCCAGAATCATTTGGGCCTATCCTTTCTGTCCTTTAAGCCTACTTGAGAAGACTAGTTTTCATTTCTGGAGGTGCTACTATGGCCTGCTGAGCCAACAGGATATATATATATA